CAATTTATTTCCATGAATAATAAACATTTACTATTTTCTTGATAATATTGGGTCAATAATTTTAATTACAGTACACTTGAATCTATATATTTATATATTTTTGCCACTGAGAAATATTCAGACTACAAGTTGTTGCTTTTGGAACAACTCTTTGGAAAAACACTACAATTGCCTTTAAAGTGAGGGTAAGGAAATAGTGAGGCACTTTCACGTGAGAATATTTACTCATTTGAATAATTATTACCATGGAAAGCTTCATAAATTTATATATACTATATTTTAACACAAGCCGTATGGTTAACACAATTCCGAAATTTTGTGGAAAATTTCCCAGAGATTATCCAGTAGTAGTAATAGACAGATGTATATCTTTAAAAAGTGGTTATGTATATCTTTATGTATATTGGATTTTTCAAGACCGACCCAAATGACCTCACGTTTACGTCGAGTCTTCGAGACAAATTGAGAGAGACGGATATGAATTTGCAATGCAAGTGCTTAGACCTACATAGTGGGGAGACTTAGGACCACCAGAGAGAACTCAAAACCAGAGCAAAGTCTTTTGTCTAGCAATAGGGCTTAGGGTTTCTAGAGCCAATAAGCATTATCTTGGTCCCAAGGTTGCGTTTTTCAAATGAACCTTTCACCTTTTTAAGGTATTATTCTTAACATCACCTCCAATTAGTAAACATGAATCACACTAGAAGACAACAGTTTAGGATAAAAGAGTTACAATATGTTTTCATAATTTTATATCCCAATCAGAAATGCATTTCAAATTGCACTCCTGAAACAGGGAATTGGACAGGTTTTGATGGTTTGAGAAATTTCCTCATGCGCAAATAAGAAATGAATATAATCAAACTCAATGATGAAAAAATTATAATCTGTTTTATTAGTTTTATATCCCAATCAGAATTGCATTTCAAATTGCACTTCTGAAACGGGAAATTGAAAAGGTTTTGATGTTTGAGGTATTTCCTCATGCGCAGCTATAATGTAATCAAACCATATACTTACAGCAAGCGAGATGGAGACTCTACCTTTTATTTCCTTGTCCCTCTCTTCCAGCAAGAGCACCAGTTCAAGCCCATGCTTCCACACACGCACAAATTGTCCAGATCCTGCAATACCAATGCAAAATAGGATTTCAGTATCATCGTCATCGACCTAAACCAAAAAAAAAATGTTCTTCAGTTGAGATCGGAAATTCACTACGTACACGAGAGTTGACAGAGTCCCCATCCTCGCATGCCAGATTGGCAACACTTGAACAGTTTTAAGATGTTTGATTATAGGTTGTAGTTGCATCCCCTGTGTGAGGGTAATAAGACTGATTCACCGCATTCCAGTCTCCTGTTGTAGAATATGCCTGGCTTGCAGCATTCCAACCAGCTGTCCCCGGAGCCCCTGGCTGCATTACAGCTTGTTGAGTGTATGCACCAGCTTGAGCATGATATTGCGGCGTGTATCCAACAGCTTGAGCATGGTATTGCAGCGTGTATGCACCAACTTTAGCATGTGGTTGCTGAGCGTACCCAGTTGGCGCAGCATGTGGTTGCTGAGCGTACTCAGTCGCTGCAGCTTGGAGTTGCTTAGCGTACCCAGTTGGTACAGCATGTGGTTGCTGCGCGTACTCAGTTGCTGCAACATGTGGTTGTTGAGCGTACTCAGTTGCTGCAGCTTGGAGTTGCTGAGCGTACTCAGTTGCTGCAGCTTGGAGTTGCTGAGCATACCCAGTTGCTGCAGCGTGTGGTTGCTGAGCGTACCCAGCTCCTGCAGTGTGGGGCTGCTGAGTGTACCCTGTTGCTGCAGCATGTGGTTGCTGAGCGTACCCAATTTCATGGGGTTGTTTAGTATATCCAGTTCCACCACCAGCATAAAGTTGAGTAGCATGCCCCAGAGATGCATGATATTGATGTTGTGGGTGACTAACTGTTCCAGCATATGATTGTGTACTTTCTTCCACACTCCCAGGCTGTGAATGTGTGGCATAATTACCCGCTACACTCTGAAGTTGGTGTATGTAACCAGTTGCTCCAGCAGCTGGTTGTGGGGTTTCACCATGTGGCGGTATTGAATAGACAGCTGTCTCAGTAGTATGTGATTGAGCAACACTAATTGCCTGCATATCTGATTGCATGGACACTGTAGTGTTTGGAACTGTAGATGCTTCAGGGTGATAGTAAGTGTCAGCAGGGATCTCACCCTGCTGACTAGCTTCACCTTCCTTTTGTGATGCTAAAGTATGGAACTCACTTCTATATACACTCCCATTAGCTGCAGATGCAGAAGGATGCTCATTCCCAGATAACATCGAAGGGTAATACTTACTATCAGAATAAGGTGAAGCAAACTGGTCCTTCTCTGATGGTGTTGCCGGATGATATTCATTCTCTGAGGCCAAACGCTCTGGGGCAGTTCCATATCTGTCACAGAAAAAAACCAAGCCCTATAATTACACATTCACATTTAGGTAAGTGCAAAGCCAGAAAATATAAACAATGTAAACATCTGCAGAACAAAGAGTCTAGTAGAGTCCTATAGCTTTAGCTATGCTTATAAACCTCTGATGACTACAGATATCAGGTCTTTAGTGAGCTAAGAAAATATGCTTCCTAGTGAATGATCGACATATTTGGGGGAAGATAAAAGTCCAAGTTGGAACTCAGTATGAAATAGGATGATAAACCAATTGAGTTATTAACTAAAGGAATAAAACCCCTACAACCATAGTTACCTCCGGATATTAGATAAAATCGTTAGATATTTGAGTTGAGGGTCTTGAATAGATGAGCGTGAAGGCTCTCCGAGCAACTGTTGCTGACGATTTTCTGTAGGATAATAAGGCTGATTCAAATTTGACAGACTTGATTCTTCCCTCACTGGGGTTGCGTAATCATCTTGTCTGGAGTAACTATGTTGGAGCAGAGGTGTGCGGGGAACAGACTGATGTGCCATAAGAGAGCCAAGTCGTGGTTCTGCATGACGAGCAAACAGAGGATCTAAAACTGACGAAGCATTCCTAAGTTGTGTAGCAGCTATGAACCGTTCCTCAAAAGATAGTGCTCTGGAAGCCAATCTATGAGGCAATGCATCGAGTTCTGGCGCAGTAAATGAACGAAATAATGATAATAGAGACATCACCTGCAATCCATGAACAGTTGCTCAGCAAATTTATGTTTACACGGAAAAAAAAAGCCAAACATGTAAGCGTGGCACATTAAAAGATGTGTTGTAATTAGCAAGAAAGTGTATTACTTGGTGAGGAGCAAGTTCTTGCTTAAATTTGCCACCTTTGTAATTCTCACAGATAGCAGACTTGAAAGTGTTCTCTGGCAAGGGATAACAGTTCTTGACAATTCTAAATCCAACCTGCCAAAATCAAGACAAAAGAATAATCTTAAGGACACTCAGTTGACGATTTATCCAGTGCCATACAAACAAAATCAAGTGTATTCACAGGATTTACCTGAGCTGGATATTTCTTGTCGAAAGCTTCTGGTTCTATATCCAATTTCCCACCAATAGTAGCTTCATAAACACCATAAAGAAGTCTCTTTTCAAAGTCATAAAGGAAAAGCTTCATCCCCGGTTTGATACTCTCAACAACGTCTTTTCTCCCTCTTGGAATCCCGAAGACACGGTAACGGTAGCAATCGGGTTTCGTTCTCCCATTACACATAAATATATAACCAGGTAGCAGCTGTTCATGATCATGTCTCCTTTCGATCACATTTTCTAATCCAATGGCTGGGTTTCCATAAACAGGCATAAGACCAGACCTGTTATACACAGGAGGAGCAGAATATTGGGAAATAGTTCCATGTTGTTGTGCATTAGCTTTAGTTTGTTCACCATCAGAGAAATCCATCTCCGTCTCCATTGCCTCTGCCATTATTGTATTTCAGTACAAGTAAAGCTTTTTCATCAAGAGAAGAAACAAATAAGCGATATAGAGACAGTAAAGTCACGCAAATTCGAGACGAAACAGCAGAGAACGAAGATCACTTGATGTAAAAATTGGAGCTTATATCGATTGAAACAAACAATTCAAAGAAACAAATGTGGGATCGATGAAGATTAATAAACACCCAAAATAACGAAATCAGTAAGGGAATACATGAAAACGAGAATACGACTGACTTACCAGAGAATATACGATTTCGAAACCCTAGAACAGAAATTGAGATTCAGGGTAATTGAATTTCGATAGGAATTTTCCGATCAGCTCATATTCTGCTTTGAAATTCACAAGCGAATCTGAATAGAGGAAGATGATTCTGTAAAAGTTTGTTCTTCATGAAAGTCGGGAGAAAAATGACTTTCGTGTTTCAAGCAAGCACAAGAGAAGAAAGACAAAGAAGGCTCACGTGAGAGAGACATGGAAGTAAACAAAATATGTAATGGGTCAATAATATAATGGGCCTTAAATAAATTTAATATCGGCCCAAATATATAAACGGATCCATAGATTATTATACTGAACTGATTTGACGTCGTCGATGGTTTTGACAACAAAAAAAATTCAGAGATTTGCAAAGTTTCGAACTTTCTGACAAGCCGAGACCAGAGTTGGTGTCTTAGTGAAACCGATCGTAGTTTTGGATTTGATTAGATCAGATTTTAGAGCATAAAGCCCTAATTTTTGCGACATTTGTCTCTTCAGGTGTTCGATTCCAGCTTATGTTACCGAAGATCATCTCTCTTTGTGAATTTCAGGTTCGTCCAATTGTGATATGGATGATATTGGGATTCTTAGGATTTGAGGTTTTTTCTGGTCCTGTAAGTAAATTGATTGTCTACTTAGCTAGGATTCTGCTCCTTTTGTTAGCTTGAGTTTCTTAATTCCGGTTTCTGGGTTTCTTCTAGCTCGTGACAAGATATGAATCTCTCCTCTTTACCCATCTTCGATTACTGAATCTCATTGCACAGAAATTTTTCTGAAAGTAGCAAACTTTAGTGTTAACTATGATCGACTCAGTTTTGTATTTATTGTTGAGACTTATAAGCTGTGTTCTTTGTCATAATTAGGTAGATTTCTGTTCTTTCAGCGATGAATTTGCTTCGTTAGGTTTGAGTTTTTTTGGGTTAAAAAGGAATACCTTTTGTTTTCTTCAACTAATGTTTTGAGTAGAGTCATCTTTCTACTTTGCAGAATGTCTTCAAGGGAGAGGTTAGGTTCAAATCATCTTACCGGAGTGAGCCAAGGCATGTCAACTAGTGGATCATCATTGAGGCACCACGAGACCATCTCTTCGGCTTCTGATAACCATCATCATCGAGAACAGCGGATATCCCATCCCGAGATTCTGGAAAGCAAGATTGCAGCTCGAGCTGCTGAGATAGACCGGCTCTCTAGTGATAAACGGAAACTAGCTGCAAGCTATGTGGCTCTCAAGGAAGACCTAACCATGGCTGACCGTGAAGTCCAGGGGCTAAGAGCTCACATCAGAAAGACAGAAACAGACAGCGAGGTTCAGATCCGAGCAACGCTTGAGAAAATAATGAAAATGGAAGTTATTATCAAGAACAGTGAGAATATAAGGAGGGAGCTGCAATTAGCTCACATTGAGGCTCATAGATTGGCTAGAGAACGCGAAGAGCTTGCTTCACAGGTGAAGTTGGTATTAAAGGAGTTGAAGAAGGTTTGCCTCGAGGCAGAGGGTTTAGAAGAGTCAAGCCAAAAACTCGAGCAGTTGAAAGAGGAGCACCAGAGCTTACGGTAAAAGAAATATTGTTAGATGTTAAGTAACTTTTAAGATTCATCATCAGGAGTTTTTAAGCATTTGATTCAATGGAACAGGGAAAAATTCGAGGAAGAGAAGAGTGGGAACGTAGAGAAAGTTGGGCAATTGAAAGAGATGGAGAGGAACATAATAGGAGCGGTTAAAGAGATCGAGAAGCTGCGAAGTGAGATCGCAACCGCAAGGAGCAGAGCAGTTGAGAATTGAATTATTTGAAAGTTAAGACCAAGAGGCTTCTGTAATTAAAGAGGATACAAGAACCTAAAACTGTGTTCTTATTATTTTTCCTTAATTATATGAGCTTTATTTTTGCATATCAACTGTTTCTTCAAAAAAATAGAGAGTAAGAGTGGGAATGTGACCGATGCGGAATTACATTCAAAGGTCAAGCGACTAGATCGACTTCATCACGCTGAGGGTAAATCACATCGAGCCTCATCATACTCTTGTACTGGTCAGGAACCGGTGCACCACCTTGCACACACAGCTCCACAACCGCAGGAGCCTTCCCATAAAACCTCTGCAAGCTATTGTCAAGAACCGAACCATCTGGATCCCGAACATGCCACACATAGTTTGGACCGACCACATCATCGACAGTTGCTTCTTGCCATGCATGCATTCCATCTCGCATCTGATGCTTTGTCGCTTTACACATCTTCACTTTGTGCCCCTTTGGACCCACCTGAATCTCTGGACAGTACCCACAAGTCCACACCTTGTATCTCTCCATCAGTTTCTTGACCCCTAAAACCATTTCAAACCATGACTCCATCGTCTCGATGCTTAATTCTTTCAAGCTCTTCTTCTCTGTGTTGCAATGATCATCGTCTTGTAAA